CTTTCCCTCCCCTCTCTTCTTTTCTCCATCATCTGTAAAATGAGAGCAATAATGGTATTCATTTCATAGGATTATTGTAAAGATATAAGGAGCTAATACATACGAAGCACTGAATATAATATTATTGGGTCGTTACAAAATTGATGATACATTTTTGCATAGAAAAATATGTCATGACTTCCGATAACCCAATAGTGACTTTGAATAAATGATACCTAATAGTGTGAATATGAGTTCAAATCAAATAAATAAGGGCCCACATAATGAGGAGATGGAAGAAGGCCAAGACCAAAAGAGAGTTGCTCTATGCTTTGCTCTTTGTAAAATGTCCCTGAATATATCATTCTCTACAAGCTTCAATGTTAGTAAATCCTTTGAGAGCTTTAAGTTATAGGTAGCGTCTTGAACACCATAGATGCTCAGATGTATGTTTTTCTTACAATTTTTTCTGGAGAAATTAATGGAGGCAGAGAGAAGACATAGTTAACCTTCAGAGGAATATACGATGACTATTCCTCAAATACTGCTATATTTAACTATCAAAAAAAAAAATCACCTCTCCACAAGTTCTTGTCCATTCCAGCACAGGGTGTCATTTTCAGCCACAGGGCTATGGCTGCAGATGTAGCCAGGCAAAGCACTGTAGAAACTGATGAAAGATTTCAACTTCTGAATTAGTTCCCTGCAAGAAAAACAAAACATCTGCACATAAGAGGCAAGTAAACACAGTATGAGAAAAGTTTAATTTCCTTATCAGCATGACAGAAAGGCTCTGCCAGGCTGATTAGAGCAATAAATGATTTTTAAAGACATTCTTGGCTGCAAGGCCACAATTTAGTTTTTTTTAAAAAAATCAATAAAATGATATTAGAAAAAAAAGTTGCCTGCCATATACGGTGTTATTCCTATCAGAAGGATGATTTAATTCCATCATCCATTTTCTAACACGTTCAGCTTCCATTTTTTGTTCAGAATGCTGTTACCTACATTCTCAAAGGTGCTGATTACAAGGCACACTGGAGCACTACATATCTTTTGGTTTCTGAATGTAATTGAGTGCATTGATTGTAATTTACAATGCTATTACCCTAGAGATGGCCTGTTTCCATATAGGATGTGGGTAATGGTTGCAGATCAGAATCGTGGGGTGCTCTGAACAGTATAAGCTGTATGAAATTCTCTTGACAATATATCAGTGAAATTTACATCTGCTAGAGGTGGAAGGTTTCTTTGTTCTTTGTGTACTGTGGTTCCTGTGAGGGGGAGTGAAGAGGGAGAGGATTTAGTATATTTAATGATTTATTTGCTTTGGTTTTTATCTTGTAAGGGTAAGTCAGCTGTGTGTGTGTGTGTGTGTGTGTGTGTGTGTGTGTGTGTGTGTGTGTCTGAGAGAGAGAGAGAGAGAGAGAACATATTATGTATACAAATGTGCATAAACTCACACACATAAATTCAACTGGCCCTCTATACCCATGGGCTCTGCATGGGCAGATTTAGTCAACATTGATTGAGAATATTTGAAAAAACTATTTCATCTGTACTGAACATGAAAAGATTTTAAAAGTTTATTTCTTCCATGACAGAGAGACAGAGAAAAATTGAGAGGAAGACAGAGAGACAGGCACCCCGTAACAGAATCTTCATGCTGCAATGTGTCCCCAGTCTCAGCCAGCCTGGATGGTGATGCCCACCATGTGCTCATGTGCCCAGCATGCACAAGGAGGTTCCAGGATGTGAACTGAGAACCTTTCTATGTGGGTCTAGTTGTGTTGCCGTTGTACCACTGACTGATGTAACATATACAGATATTTCTCTTGTCATTATTTACTATTTAGTAAAGTATAACAACTATTTATATACTATTTACATTCTACTAGGTATTAAAAGTAATCTAGAGATTATTTTAAGTATTTGTGAGGATGTGTATAAATTATATGCAAATAATGTCTGTCATTTCATATAAGGGCCTTGACCAATGTATCCTCTGGCAACTAAAAAGAAAGAAAGAGAAATATTAAAATATAGATGGAATAGATATCCAATGGTAAAAACAACAATAAAATATACTTTTTTTTATACAGCAATGTTCCTGATAGAAAGTTAAAGTGTTCTTCACATCTAAGTCTGTCTTAAATCTATACTAAGTTTTGGAAGACTCAGTAGGGGAATTTTCTGGAAATTGAGTAATTAAATACTGTCTCCGGGTTAAGAATGAACTAGCTTGATGTGCAGTCCTCTGTTTCTCCAGAGCTGTGGATCTCATTTTGACACTGGTGGAAGTCCTGAGCCCAGTAAAGCCTTCTGGGGGTTATTCTCAGATCTGAATAACAGAGAAAAAGGAAGAGAGAGGGAGCTTGTAGCTCACATTCACTGAGGCTTGGGCATAGCAAATTGAGGTTGATAGACAGAACAACTCAAGAAAAGGTTATTTGGACATATATAACTCCTGATATTCCAACAGTTGCTCCCTGCTATGCCCATAACCCCCTCACAACCTACGCCTAGTGTCTGAGCACCATCAGTCTCCAAAGAGAAGAGGTTCAATACAAAGCTCTGAAAATAAAAGTCAACATTATAGTTTCTCACAGAGGAAAAAGATGGGTTCAATTAACGGCTAATAGGAGAGATGTTCTGTTTTACAAGGTAATAATACAGTTCCCAAGAGTGGAAACTAAAAGACTAAAGGCTGAGGCTGAGTAATTCCCCCTATTCCATGAGGAAATGGAATATGGCCATTAGTCTATGGGAAACAATGGCCTTCTTTTTAATGAAAGAGTTTCCCTTAGGGCTCTTCCTATGTCCAAACTTTCTCTCACTATCATAGCACATGGTAAGAAAAATTGAACACACAGCAAAACCTACCAATATGATTTCCTTAGAAGTTACACACACACACACGCACACACACACACAAAAATCCCTTGAATTTTCTCAGTCTCCTAACCCTTGCAGTTTTCTTAGCTGATCATAAAGATCACTGACAAGTTGAAGAAGATCCAGAGAAGGTTCAGTCTAAATGTCAAAGAGATGTCAGGCTGCAGTAAACATAAGACCTCCCACTTTAGGATGGAAGGATATTACCTGGAAAGATCAAAATCAAAGTCTAAGAAAGTCACAGAGAGCGTGAATAATGTGAACACAGTCTAATCACAGTCTAGGATTCAGAGCATCTATTTGAAACTTGAACAAGAGTAACTCAGAGGGAAGAAAGGTAATCCTACCTCATAAAATAGTCATTACCTCTGCAGGATATATAGGATGAACATAGAAGAAACTGGATTTTGTTGTTGTTTGCTTTGTTTTAAGAAGAGATTTTTTTGCTATAGGCTGCATGCATTTGCCTGAGAGACAGAGAGACAGAAAGCGAGAAATAACGCCCTAGGAGGATGGCCATGCTGCAATCCCATTTCCTCCATTCTCCTTTCAGGATTTTAGGCACATACACACACACCTGGCATGAGTTTTAAGCTGTTGGGCCTGGGACTTGAACCTCAGTCTACTAAGTGGAACTCCAGCAATATAACCATTATGCCATCTGCTGGTCCCCCCCTATCCTTTTTTAAAAATAATAATTTATTTAATTTTATTTATCATTATTATTATTTTTAAAAATTTTCTACAGGGCCCATGTGCTCACAAGAGAGGAGAGAGAGAAAAAATAAATGAGAAAGTAAGCCACCAGGTTCAGGACTCCAATCGTGACTGGCCATAAGGGAGTCCAAAGTCTTAACCACCATGCCACCTGCTGGTCCCCAGAAACTCTGTTTCTAAAAATATTTCTGAATTAGTTATTTTGAATTCAGAACACAGTTTCATCTAGCAGCTATGTTATAATGATGATTGAATTCTCAGAGCATCTAAGTTCAAAACTGTTATGAGTATTGGCTAAGAGCACTGATTTTGGAGCCAAAATCAGCTGAATTTCAAATGCTGGCTACCCCCTCAATTATCTAGAAATGAAACCTTAGATAAATTCTAAACTTCTCTGAGTTTTAGTTTCCTTCCTATCTCTAAAATAAAGACAACAATAGTACCTATCTTTAAATTTTGCTGGAATGATTACATGACACAATGCATGTAGAGTCAATAGCGTAATACCCATACAAGTAATCACAGAGTAATCCTATTATGATGTTAACCATTGCCAAAATTACCATTATCATGGGTCTGAAGAAGATAAATATATTGCTATGTTTTGGATAATGGTTTGTCTTGCAAGCATTCATGTATTGAAAATTTGGTCCAATATGTAATGGTGTTGGGAGGTGGTTAGACAAAGCTTTAAGAGGTGAGGCCTACTGAGTGGTGTTTGAATCATGGGGACATTGCCCTTTAGACAGATTAATGCTGTCTGTGAGAGGGAATGAGCTCTCGCTCTCATAAGAAAGGGTTACTCCTGCAAGAATGGGTTGTTGTAATAAATGGCTGCCCACAGGTTGTACTCTCTCTCTGCATGTGCCCACCAACCTTTTTCCTTTGGTCAGCCATGTTGTGATGCAAAACCTAATGCTGGTCCCATGCTCTTGGACTTTCCAGCCAAAAGAATCATGAGCCAAATAAACCTCCATTCTTCTGCTAATGAATGAAGACATATAGTATTTGTTTTTCAGAGCCTGGCTTATTTCACTTAGCATCATTTTCTCCAGGTTCGTCCACTTTTTTTTTCAAATGACAAGAGTTCATCCTTTTCTATGGCCACCCATTCTGTATATATGACACATTTTCATTGCCTATTCATCAGTTGTTGGGCACTTTGATTTATTCCATATCTTAGCTACTTTTGTTCCCTATAATGATACACAACTATTATATGTAAATTAGAAATTGTAATTAAAATCATCACCAAAAGGAACCTTTGGGCCGGTTGGTGGCATGGTGGTTAAGATGGCTAGATTCCACATGGTCAACTATACATTTCAAGCCCCAGAACCAGCAGGTTTAAAATATATGCTGGGAGGACCAGCAGTTAGCATAATGGCTATGTGGCTGAACTCCCATGTAGCCGACCGCAGTTCGAGTCCCGGAACCGGTGGCTTAAATTCACACCAGGTGCGTGTGCGTGCATGCCCAAGATCCTGAGAGGAGAATGGAGAAGGGACTGTGGCATGGCTATCCCCCCGGTGGGTGATTTTGGTTTTCTGTCTCTCTGTCTCTCTCTGTCTTTCTGGTGAGTGTACATGCCCTATAGCAAAAACCTCTCCAAAAAAAAAATATGCTGGGTACATGTGTATGTGTGTCCAGAATCCTGAAAGGAGGGAAAGATGGAGGAAAAGAGATTGTGATGTGACCATCTACCATGGGGTGCTTTCTCCCTATTGCCTTTTCTCTGACAAGCATGTGCACTGTGGCAAATTAAAAAATAAAAAGATACATTAGTCATCTGAGAAATGCAAATCAGAACCACAGTGAGATACCACTTTATACTCACTAGGATGTCTATAATCAAAAAGATAGAACAAGTGTTGGTGAGGATGTGGAGAAACTGGAACCTTCATACATTGCTGGTAGGAATGCAAAATGGTGTGGCTGTATGGAGAATAACTTGGTAGTTCCTCATAAAGTTAAGCACAGAGCTAGTGGATGACCCTGACATTCCACTCCTAAATAAATATCCAAAAGCATTGAAAATAGGTACTCAAATAAATACATGTTCATAGCAGTAATATTAATAAGAGCAAAAAG